CGCCCCCAGGACCCGCCTTCTCCCCACCTCCCGCCGGCTAACCAGCCGCGACGCTAGGCTCATTGAATATTAATCACACGCCTGGAGCGGGAAGGCGGGAGTTGGGCCGGGCGGGCGCTCCACGTGAGCCTCATGAATATGCATCACTAGCATGACGGCATTCCCGGGAGAAGTGGGGAGAGTTGGGGAACGCAGGGGAGGCGGGGCTTCAGAGTAAACAAACCCGACGCGTGCGTACGCGGGCGGGGCAGGGGCAGTTTCCCGGGAGGTCCCAGTGCCGAGGGAGTGGCCGAGGAGAGGCGTGCGTTGCACCCTGGGATTTGTAGTGCCAGTGAAGGGACGGAGGTGCCCAGCGGAAACGGACGGACTACAAGTCCCAGAGATCCTTACACTTTGCCCTTCCTTGCCGCCCGCTGCTGGCCATTGACAGTGGGTAGTGTGCCCTCTGCTGTTGAACTCTGTGCTCGGGAATGTTCTTGTTCATTAATTTGTACACAACCTTCCCGCTCCTGTTCCCGCTCCCCAGAAGACTTTCATTTTCCCTACTAATTGAAAATAAGGACTTTGAGGGACTCTAAATGGTACAAAGGTCCCGAGTGTTGGGTCCTCATCTCCACCCATTGTGTGAGATACAAATACACAAACTAAGCCAAACTCAGGTTTTCCCCACTTTTTCAAGGCCAGGGGAGACAATGTCTGGTTATTCTAACTTGGATAATTGTTAAATATGCTTGGTGGAAATGATGCAATCCCGAGCCAATCCTCTCCTATGTCTATACCTGAAAAGGAAAAAAGGCCTAAGTCACGGGTCTCAATTTGTTTCCCTTCGATCTTCAAATTTGGAATAAATGACATGGAAAGCAGTGAGTGTGTCTGTATATTAACTCCCATATAGCTGCTTTCTAAAGTTATATTGCTTTAGCTAATGTAACAAACTCAAGGAAAGTTCGTTTTAATTATAAATACTATCACCATTAGCCCAGTGTCCATTAGCATCCTCTCTAAGAAATTATAAACAGTATGGAGTTTCCTCAAAAAATTAAATATGGAACTGCCTTATGACCTGGGATTCCATTGCTGGGTATATATCTGAAGAAATTCAAAACACTAATTTTTTCTTTTTTTGAGTGGGAGGGAGTGGGGAGAGAGAAACATCAATGTGAGAGAGAATGGGTTGCCTCCTCGCACACACCCAGACCCCAGCCAGAATCAGGCCTGCCACCCAGGTACATGTCCTTCACAGGGAATCCAACCTGGACCCTTTGGGTCCGAGAGGCAACAGTCCAACCACTGAGCCAAACCAGCCAGGGCCAAAACAAGAATTTAAAAGAATAGATGCACTCCTATGTTCATTGCAGTTATTTACAATAGCCAAGATATGGAAGCAACTCAAGTGTCCATCAATAGATGAGTGGATTTTAAAAGTTGTGGTACATATATGCAATGCAATATTACTCAGCCATAACTAAAGAATGACGTCTTCCCATTTGCGACAGCATGGAGGGACCTAGAGCCCTGGTCGGCAAACTGCGGCTCGCGAGCCACATGCGGCTCTTTGACCCTTTGAGTGTAGCTCTCCCACAAACTACCACGTGCGGGCGCACGTACAGTGCGATTGAAACTTCGTGGCCCATGCACAGAAGTCGGTTTTTGGCCTGGGAGAGTCTATTTTGAAGAAGTACTGTTGATATTTGGCTCTGTTGACTAATGAGTTTGCCGACCACTGACCTAGAGGGTATTATGTTAAGTGAAATAAGTCAGTCAGAGAAAGACAAATACCATATGATTTCACTTTTATGTGGACTCTAAAGAAAAAAATAAATAAACAAACAAAATTGAAACATATTCATAGATACAGAGACCTGACCTGTGGTTGCCAGAGGAGTGGGGAGGAGGGTAAAAGAGATGAAGGGATTAAGAAGTGTAGATTGGTAGTTGCAAAATAGTCATGGGGATATAAAAGTACAGCATAGGGAATATGGTCAATAATATTGTAATAACTATGTATGGTGTCAGGTGGGTGCTAGAATTTCAGGGAGAACACTTTGTAAAGTATATGATTGTCTGACCACAAAAAGAAATTATAGTACTGTACTTAATCTAGCTCTGGTTCTTGTCATTTAGCATTACAAGTCACCTAGCCTTTTTATCCGCCAGGAATTTTGTTTATTCTTTGAAGTTATTTATAACCAAAACACCTCCTCCAAGGGGAAAATTTTTAAAGAAAAAGCATTGCTCAGAGAATTTAGAATCCAAAATATAGGAAGGGGGCGAGGATGGTATAAGGAATTATTAAATTGGAAGGAGGAGGGGGCTAATGTAGAAACTATTGCATGCATAGTGTTCATAATCTGAAAGATGCTGTATTCCCTTTTACTCGGAATAATGAAAATCAGAGTTGGGTGGAAAGAAGAGCAAGGATCCACAGTGTGACTCATACCTTGTTCCACCTCCAAACCTTCCATAAAGTTACTCAACTTGAAGGTGAGAGGAGAGACAGAAAGAAAATGAGAGTTCATAAATAGGCAGTGCCCTTAACAACAGATCAACTGGAATCTGGTAGTTGAGATAATACATTGATAGGGCCATGAAACTTGTACTTGGAGTTTACTAGTATTGTAAAATGTCATTCAGACCATCTGAGCCAGCACACACTATACTGAATAAGAAAAGGACTTCAGTACAGGATAAATATTTTCCAGACACCCATGAAATAGCTTCTTCTACTTTAAAGTAGAGTGGGGAATAGACCAATATCCTGAAACCACGTGACTCCTGAATGACACCCCCCTCCACCCAACCTTTAAAGTGCTGCAAATGTGCAGTCATCTAATATCACATTTCTGACTAGCCACGCATTTCAAAGAATCACCTCTTAAAATGCTAAAAGATAATCCTGAAAAGAAATAACAGACGTAAAAGTTGCAAACCTGGATGCCAACTTGTTAAAATATTTTAACAGGTAAGTATAGAAAAAGAGAACATAATTTTCAATTTACTGCCACAGTTCATTTTATGCTGTGTGACTTATTACTGACTTGCTGTGTTTTGCATCTAGCTTAACCCTGTTTGCATCCTTAGATCCAAGATAAAAGAAACTATCTTTGGAATTTTTTTTCTAATATAAGTAGTTGGAATTTTAATGGAGGCATGAATTGATAGCTGGGATGCCTTCCGTCTGTTAAGGACTCAGCTGTGTCCAGAAATAAACTTAGAAAGATGCAATATACAATGTAATACATTTAGTTAGTACATTATGAACAGGAATCTAATTATAGTTTCACATTTTTATATCCCTTGAGCTACTAGTGGTTTACCATGACTAAATTGCTCACTACTTACTCATTCTTTTTTTACTAGGAGGGATCCATTTAGCAAATTACTGCTCTGGTGCACGAAATGAGCCCCAGGTGGCCAAACTGATTTCATATGTTTCCTGCCCAGTGGCAGGATGAGACCTCCCGAGCTCTCTAAAGCCCTACCCCGCCCTTCTAAGAACGCTTCCAGAGCCTAGATTAACCCTTTGAGTGCCAGCCAATATCCTAGGAACTAGGCTAAAATTGCCAAGGCATTTTTGCTGATTTTACAGCAGTTTAGAAAAAAAAAATATGAAAATTAGGCAGATAAATGCCAGTGGTCA